CAAGTACAAGTACAAGTAGATGCACTAGGAAGTTGTAGGTTTACGACTCCCTTGATAACATGTCCTGTCCACTACAATCAGTGATGGTCGTAGCTAGGTCGGACGGTGCGTTGACCCCGTTGAACTTTTGCTACTACAGTACAACGCCCTCTACAAAAAAATTCCCCTGTTATTTTGCACAGAACCATTATGCATTAGCAGCATATGTGAGCATAATGCGGCATAATATGATAACTTTAAGCATAAAAATAGCATAATTCTGCAATTTTTTCAGCAATGCGAAAAGCATAATTTCACGAAAATATTAGCATAATCCGTCAAGGCCTAGCTATGGGACCAGGCTGAACCTAGAAGGCGCTGACAAGTTTTCCACTCCAAAGTTCTCCCAATCCTTTACAAAAAATATTATTCTTGAATTGTTTGCAGGCAACCTGCCTACACTCAAGAGAGCACTGCATTTCACACAAATCCATTGGCATTGGTATCGTTACAACGTTTCGGTCTTTATGACCATCATCAGGAATGAAGTGGACATGGAAAGAACAGCAGTATAAAAGAAGGAGGCAAGCAAGCAAAGCGCTAGCGCGGTACATAGTGACAGCGCGCGTAGAGAAGTGCAAAGCACGTCATGGCGGGTGTGCATTACTACATATACATGACAACACAAGCACACAAGATTGAAGAATATTATTATTATTATTATTCCTAAGTAGTGGTTGCGACTTCGGCGATGATTTGTAAGAAAGGGTTTGCTCCCCACACCGGAGCTCGCGCTATTCCGCCGACTTTACTTGACACTTGACTGACTCACGACTGCCATCCAGAGCAACTACTAGTTGGTTTGGAGGTGACAGCGTTGCGAATGACCGAGGGTCCTCGACGTCTGTCTCACCGTCCAGGAGCGACACTGACTCACGCTGCTATCTGGTGTTCACGAGGTGTTTGTCGCGCTGGAAACGGAGCGTCTCTGTAAGTTTGTATCCCTGATGATGTTTGTGCCTGGAGAGCACTATATAAGTGGTGCTCTTCAGGCACAATCTTCCTCAGCCTACTCAAGCTCAACTGATGAGGGGTGAATTCCCCGAAACACTGTGTATTGAGCAGGGAGTGGTGCTTTCTTGCAGGTTTGCCGAGTCGAAGGTTCGATGGACTTCTCGTGTGCTCTGGATGGCAGTCGTGAGTCAGTCAAGTGTCAAGTAAAGTCGGCGGAATAGCGCGAGCTCCGGTGTGGGGAGCAAACCCTTTATTATTATTCCTACCCCTATATTATAGCAATTTGGTCTATATGTTTAATCATTCAACATCTACCTTCACTGATGAGCTACATGTATGTATTAGCGAAACAGCTGTCTGAAGGAGTTTATCAATATCGTCTACGGAAGTGTCCGCGCAATGGTGATGGTTGTGCGCAGGAGGGTCTAGTCGGCTAAAGAGCGCAGTGTAATGGCGGAGGTGACTCAACATTTTCTTCAATGGCCGAGAGCTCTGTCGCACCCTGTAATAATATTATTCCTATATTTCAGAGAAGTATTACAAAATAATTGAGAGGCTTTGAATCGTTTTTATCAAAATCTAAATATTTGCCGGGTTGGAAGGTGGGTTTAAAAAAATAAAATAAAATGTCTATCCTGCTCTGCTCGCCTGCTTTCCTTGCTTTGCCAAGGCTTTGGTCGAAACCAAAATGTCCGTAGACGGCAATGAAATTCCTACTGAAATTCCCATCCTCAAACAAACAAAAACTCAAGATAAAATCAGCGGAACGGCGTCCTGGCGGACTCGGCGGAATTCAGCCGGCCACTTGCTGGATGAATTCCGCCGGCGGAAAGTGTCCGCCGTTCTGCGACTTTCATGGAGACCGCGGACAAATTCCGCGCGGAATGGGCGGAATGGCGGAATTTTGCTCGGTGTGACCGCGGCCTAATGCCAGTAATGGTGCAATTGTTGCTCTGTTTCCATGCCAATACAAAATGGCAACCCCTGGCCATATCACTTACGTAGGCATCACTTAGTGATCGTCCTTGAAAAATTCGGGGAAGAAGAGTGAAGTAGTTTGCTTGCACTGCGAGCCATTTTCTGTGGCGCTCAGGTAGTCCATTTTCACCGAGCCTAATTATAGGGTAGCTTTAAGGACGACAGTGGGCGGAGCGTCTAGAACGGAATCGGAGCTGATATTGAAGCGCAAACGAAAGGAGAGGAGAGAAAGAGTGAGTGGAAGACTACCGATGGCAATTCTAGCGGCAATGTCCTTTCACGACGCCAAAAATCGCCTTCTCGAGGTAGAGGCATCATGGCTGCCATTATGGTCGCCATTGCATTACGGACCTAATTCAAGCCAGGGCGCTCCATGCATCTTCTGAGTTCTGAAATGGTGACAGCAGTCAGGAGATGTTCCTTGTGTGTCATGTCGGGGCCCTGAGTTGGGAAGAGTTTCCTGTTCAAATTGCCCGCCTGTTGTGCTCCTTTACACAAAAGCCGAAAATTAGGCTTTGGCAAGACAAGCGAAGAGTCAGTGTAGGTCGGGTTTTCCGCCGATTAGACACTCAGATCAAGATCGGCGTAAAAATAAATTGCGTGGTGTGGGACGGTATTGTCGCACACTTTTCCGGCACATTTGTACGTGTAGGGCCGATTTCATCGGTCGAAAAATAAACTAATTACTTGTAAATATACATAGTCACAGTAGCAAGAGTACACATAACTGGTTATGTACTCTTGCTAGTAGTACGACTGGCATTGTGCCGTACTGGCCTTTTTGTGCCATCATTTCAGCTGGTTGCTAGGGAATCCAGCAACAAGCGTGGAGGTCACGTGGCACGGCACTCTGACATCGCTACTAGTAGTAGTACTAGTGCTAGTACAGTCAACTTCGCTTATAACGACACTCGGCGGGGCATCAAAAAGGTGTCCTTATTCGCGAAGTGTCGTTATACCCGAAGTCTCATTACATGTATTACAGTGGGATGGGACTTTGCTCTGGGCATGGAAATTCTGTCGCTATTCGCGAATTGTCGTTATATCCGCAGTCGTTATTAGCAAAGTTGACTGTAGTAGTGCTAGTAGTAGTTTTTATTATTTTACTAGGGGAGTCCCAACAGGCTGCTGCCTGAAGTATCACTGGGATTCCGGAACCCTAGGTGAAGTGTACCACCACACTCCATCATTCACCCCAGTGTCTGGAGATATGTGGATTTTGTAGAAAAAAAAACAAAAAAAAAACAAAAACAAAAAAACCATGTTTATGAACAGAGCAAGACACATGTAGCCTGGACATGCCTGCACATGCCTGTACATGCCTGGACATGCCTGTAGTGCATCTACTTGTAAGATAGCCTGTACAATACATGTACAGTAGCATCCAGGCTAAGTAGAAACGGTCACGTTTAAAAAGTCTCTAGAAACGTGTCACAAGGGAAGCAAGGCTATAGAAACGTGTCACAAGGGAAGCAAGGCTATAGAAACGTGTCACAAGGGAAGCAAGGCTATAGAAACGTGTCACAAGGGAAGCAAGGCTATAGAAACGTGTCACAAGGGAAGCAAGGCTATAGAAACGTGTCACAAGGGAAGCAACACGGGTGTTTGCAGTGCATGAACTCTGGCCAGTCGTCCCCGTACGCAAAATGCGTACGCATTTGGATCTACCGTACATTTCCTCGTGTTTTGGGCGAATCTGAGCGGTACGACGCTGTCGAATTGGGCCTGAATTTGCCCTGAACCAGCCGCTATCGAAGTAAAATTAGGTGTTTTGAAGGCCACACGGGAACACTGTGGCCATGTCTTCGTTCCTGCGTCGTTTGTTTGAAAATCGGAGTGTTTTTGAGCTCGTAGTTCGTCTTCGTTGTGGAATGGCCGTGCGTACATTCTCCTTGGAATTACCAAAGTCACACCCCCGTTTATTACATTACTAGGAGTTTTGCCGGCAGCCACGATAGTTTTTATCCCTGCTTCCATACATCCTTTCATTGAACAGCCAAACGAAATTTTGTGGCGCGCCTTAGTTTTTTGTGGCGCGGGGGTCTCAAGTTTGTCACTTCGAGTTGTACACAACGATCACATCAACACCTCAAACTGGACCAAAAAAACCAAGTGAGCAAGTATTTCTACCTTGCGATTCTGCCTGGCCTACTCTGAAGATGGAGACTTCTACTTGGTAGCACATACTCGTATCAATAAGCTGGGAGGGAGAGCGTGGCGAGTAAAATGTTGGGATGAAAAGAGCCACATTCTCTCTCGGAAAAGGTCGTCGTTCGTTCCTACGCTGGCTACTTGCTCTTCCCAGCTTCTTTGTAGCTAGCTAGCTAGCTCTGCAGAAGGCTAGATTTTGCATGCACGTGCGAGATTCAGAGTCGAAATTTTTGTACTCTCGGATTTGCCGCCATCTTGACGAGTGGCCACTGCGAAACACCCGTGGCAAGGCTATAGAAACGTGTCACAAGGGAAGCAACGCTATAGAAACGTGTCACAAGGGAAGCAAGGCTATAGAAACGTGTCACAAGGGAAGCAAGGCTATAGTCTAGAAACGTGTCACAAGGGAAGCAAGGCTATAGAAACGTCAGCGTGTTTTCATGTAACACTGCCTGCACAGTGTAGCCGCCCTACTCTGTGACCATGGTGACGTTTTGGTCTATCGCTGCTTGTCATCAATTGCTAGCCCCCTCCTTCAGTCACTGTTTCTCCTGCGTTCAGTTGGCCCGCACACAAATGCTCGTACTCGTGGCCAGGATACAGCTGCCTTAGTATTACCTACTGTACATATTGGGTATGGACTGCGCTCAGTTTCTTTTCTGGCTGCAGGTCGGTGGAACACTCTTCCTCCAAACTGTCGTCAGGCACAATCTGCTGGTACTTTTGCTCACCTCACAAAGATTCACCTAGGGTTCCCTGTAACACGGCCATGCCTGTTGGGACTCCCCTAGTCAAATAATAAATACTACTACTACTACTACTGATGATGTGAATAAAGACTGAATAGCAGGACACGCACAGAGTAAGAACGGAGACGCTGAAATTTCGAATAATGTTTAGGAACATCACTAAGATGATTGGTCTAAAGGGAAATCCTTTTAGTTCCTCAAACAATCAGATCAAGCATACGGGCCAAGACTAAAACGAATGGGGTCATTGAATGCTGCACAATCAATAGTATATCTATCAGCTTGAGATTCTTTCTCAGTCTAGGTGACTGCGGGTGGAACAAAACCATAGCCGCCTGTCATGTAACTGTTACAGGTACTCCAGCGCAGCCAGGTACAATTGCTAAATGCATCAACAAGAAACAGAGCTATTGAGTAAGTTGCAAGAAACAGAGCTATTGAGTAAGTTAGGCTGGTTTGAGTAAACCTTTGCAAAGACTGATAATTGCATTGCACATTTTGCAGGCTTCACAATTTAGCACAAGACTACTTGTATGTTGCATGGGAGTGAACCACCAACAAGCTAAGTGACTCCACCGTACGTAAGTATGATTCATGCTTAGTGTATACTACTGGCCATGCAGCTAGCTACATGTACATTGCCAATGACATCATTGATGACATCATACCACTGCATTACGCTGGCTGGACATTGACCATGCAGCCATCAGCCGGGTAGATGGTAGGGAGGTAAATGATCTTGTCTCCACTCTCTGTCACCTTCCGCGTCCACTTTGTCCGTGTCACTAGCAGTGCTGCGAATGCTACCAGATGGTTCATAGCATAGCGTTGACCAAGACAGACATGTGGGCCGTGACCAAACACGAGGAAGCTCTTGCCGTGTGCCTCCGTGCGCTTCTCAGGACTCCAGCGATCCGGCCTGAATGATGTTCCTTCCTCAAAGTCTTCATGCTGCGGTGCCCAGAGGTAGGGTATGACAATGGTGCCCTTTTTCACCTTGTAGTCACTTGTCAGCTGGCAATCTTTCACAGCAACATGTGGTACCATGGTCACAGGGGGTCGGTATCTCAGCACCTCCCGCACCACCTGCGTCGTGGCAAACATGAAAAGAAAACAAAGAAATGCATGTTACAATGTGTGCAGTGTACAGCATGCAATATGTGTCCCATGACCTCAGCATACAATGTGTGTCATGTGACCTCAGTATAGAGGCTATGCACATGATTGATGTGTGTCATGTGACCTCAGTATAGAGGTTATGCACATGATGTCATTGTGGTGAATCAGTGGAACTGATGATGGGTGCTACTGCTAGGTAATATACAGAGTGATTCAGCAGAATTGTTAATGGGCGCTATGTATGTAGCAAGAGTCGCTAGTGCATTGGTGTGTAGTGAGTCAGTGACTTTGCCAAAGCATCTCATCTGATGACGTAATCGCGTAAACTCTATAATATAGAACTGTCTTCTTTACACGGAAAGGTCTATGAATATGATGTACATGAAGGTGTGCAGAGTGAAAATAGAATCAGACATTGTATATACGTGTAGTTCACATTCGTGGCAAAGTGTTTGTGTGGTGTCTAATTGTGTAGCTCTTTCATACACACCCACTCAGGCGCGTAGCCAGAGTGGATACTTTGCAGTCAGGTATCCATACTTGGTTGGCCAGAACATGTCGACATGCACTGTACTACTATCAGATCATGGACAAGTCTACAGGCACTGCGGACTCCACGCGTGGAGTCTACTGAGTAGATCTGCTGTTGACTGAAGTGAAGAAGGGTTCGCAGGATCCACATGTAATGTAACCATGTACTAGTAGGACATCTACAGTCTATTTGTGAAGCTCAAGGATAGGCTTGGACTTCTTTGAACCGCTGTTCGCGTTAGCTGTATGAACCACATTGCAACAATGCTGCACAGCACCGGTGCAGTGCGGATTCACACCCACATTTTGCACTAGCAAAACTGGAGTCGAAGACGGAAAGTCACAGTCTCTTTGTTTCGAAAGCTTTCAGTTTGTTTTCATTTTCTTTTTATTCTTCGCCACCAATTTCCAAGTTCTGTCAGTGTGTCAGGTACACGTGTGAAGCGATTCCACCAAGCGAAAATTGGAGATTTGTTTTCAGCGATTTCTTCCAAGCGTAATGATAGCGGTTGCTCAGACAACTCTTCAAGCGCTGACGCTGTGTCGGTGCCCGATTCTGTCGACTCTGGCGGCGAATTCGCTTCAGGGCAGCCCGAAAGTGTGGACTCTCCGAGAATCTCTGACTCTCAATATTAGTCTGGAACGTTGGGGGAGTTGTCGTCACCCGAGGATGGTCCCGGTTGTCTTGTCAAGGTGATTCTTTGGAACCTGCAGCGCTACATGAAGCCGGTACTCATCTTCAGCATCTGGTTGACGATGCCGGCGTTTTCTGAACGTTTGATGATCCGGAAAAAGGGAGAAGTGCAAGGACAGTGGCTGGTGCGCAGGGCTCGTGGCTGAAGTTGCCAGTTTCCGCTAAGTTCAAAGGAGACGTTTAAGCTACTGCAGCACCATTTCCGACCACCTAGGAGGTTTACCAGTCCATGCATACGTTATGGCTTCTTGGCGATGAAAGTACGTGGCCAGCACATAAGGCTCAGTTGCCACTGGCTGGAAACCTACGCCTGGCTGACCGTTTCCAAGTGTGTGAGTGATGGGTTTTAGTTTCACATGCACATACATGTAGTTTGGAGGGGAGAGCAACAAGTTTGGCCATCAACTAGGTCTGCTATTTTCAAGTCGCAAGCAACTAAACCACGGAGCATTCTCCCAATTATTGTGTGAACACCGCGGCTCACACCAGCCTGAACCAGTATCATGTATTTGTCGCAAATGCTGCTTACATAACCTGTAATCTACTCAATCTGCGGGCGGAACTGTTTCGTCCATTGTGGACTCGTAAGCGTAGCACAGAGGCTGTATTTATATTTTATAATATAATTATATACATTGAAACAGTGTACTAACTTTTGCTATCAATTACACGCTTCTGTATTGTATATTGCAACTGCCAGATATTTCCCCTAGCCCGCTCTAGTGGAATAACATGACATATTGTGTCATCTGTATCAAGGACCTTAAATACATCTAGACTTGGTTGCCCAAAGACATCTAGTATCCATACAAATATTGCCCGAGCTACGCCACTGCCCACTATTCGTATAACTTGAATGGACACGATGTCCTGCTTCGTGTCTGGATACCATGCTACCGTACCGTACGCTCTCTCTCTCTCTCTCTCTCTCTCTCTCTCTCTCTCTATCTCTCTCTATCTCTCTCTCTCTCTCTCTCTCTCTCTCTCTCTCTCTCTCTCTCTCTCTCTCTCTCTCTCTCTCTCTCTCTCTCTCTCTCTCTCTCTCTCTCTCTCTCTCTCTCTCTGTCGGCCATGCCGCCATTCTTGCATACTTAGTCTTCATCCGATGTAGCCCATTGAACAGGGCCATGTGATATGAAACTCTAACATCGTCACACTGCACAGAGAAAGTGCAGGACGTTTCACAAGAGTGTTTCCACTCCTGGTAGCAGTAGCAGTACACACTGTGCTGCATCAACAAGCAAGACATACCTGTTTAGCATAGGGCATAGCAAGACATGCCTGTTTAGCATAGGTCATAGCAAGACATACTGTAAGACATGTATATATAACGAGGAAGCAAATCTAACGTTTTAACGGATGACATTTCTTCGTTATAATAAGATCCGTTGAGGCCGTACTGCTTCATATATGCTGTGTGTGGATATGGCAGAATACTGCAAGATCGTTAACATATCTTCTCGTTAACCTATGAATTTTGGACAATCGTTAAATTTGCGACTCGTTATAATAACATGTCTTACAGTACCTGATTCGCATAGGTCATAGCAAGACATACCTGATTCGCATAGGTCATAGTCTCAATGTTCTCTGTACTGAGTGGCTCATTGTTGGGACGAACAATGCGCTGTTCCTCTACCATCTTCTCACGCACATCTGGATGGTCATGAAGCAGTTGAACCATCCACACAAGTGATGATGTTGATGCATCCTACAACAGACAAACACACAGCCAGGAAGGCAGGCAGCCAAGCAGGTAATGGTGGTCACATCGCCAAGCTATTATAACAAAGTAAGATGCTTGCATACATGTACATGTAGCTACTTAGAAATACATACCGTATTTTCCGGAGTACAAGCCGCAATCAGATTTTTAGTCATGAAATACAGACATTCACCCTATCACGCTGAATTTGCTCTATCACGCTGAATTTGACCATCGTAGCATAAGCCTGGCGCATCGCGTGACGTTTTTTGGGTGAAATTACAGGTGTTGTCAGTGCGGCATATAAAAAGTTATAATCCAGAAAATTGTATGGTACATGTGTAGCAGGCTGATGCACAGCACTGCTTACAGGCATCTGCCAGTATGCAACCGATCCCTGGTGGCTTAACACATGCCCTCATTCCATCTGACTAACTTATACAACTATCACATCCATATGGGATCATGAAGACATGGATGATTATCATCATCTATAATAGTGAAATGTTGCATCATCCCACTGCTGCACTTTCAACACCAGTTGAAGCCCACTTCTGGTCCCATATAGGAGAACTAATACATGCCCTACTAGTTGGTATTGACCAACAAACCAATGATCAGACCAGAGTGAATGATTCGTGAAGCAAAGCTCTGTTGCATTTTCCCATTTGATCCTTTTGACAGAAATGCAGATAGGAACATTAGAGTCAGAAGAGAATGTGTAGCTTTGTTTGGATTGCTTGTTCCATCTCAATAGTGACGGAGGCAGCAACTACACTGAGCAGCAGTATCCTGGATGGTTCTATTCCCATGCTGCACTAGCCTGAGTGGTGAGTCAGGTGAGCCAGGTGGAGACCTCTACCATCATGTGACACTCGACCAGGATCACGCGCTGTGATTTCTCACCATACAAAGAAACTCATGCGGCCATGGATGTATCATTATACGGACATTGCGCCGCCATCATGAGCTCATTCCAAGCGGAGCTGTCTGGCTCAGACAGTGAGTAAGGTAAGACAGAAGGCTCAAGGTTCTCCTCTGAATAGAGCGGTTTCACATCAGTTTGTCATGTGACTAAATTTGTGTACAAAAGTGATCATGTCATGTGTACAGTGGAACCAACATGGCTGACATTATGTGACCCGTAGATGCAGGGGTTGAGTGGAATTGGAACTAACATGGCATGTGATAGATGTGAAACCACCCTATATGGCAATGACCCAACCACTCTTGCTCTCACCTTACCCTGTGGTGGTGGCATCCCATGGAGGCAGAACGGTAGTTCTTGACCCGTACCATACATGGATCCATTACACTAGACAAATACAGTCCTTATTTGTACCTCTATGCACTGATTGTGTTATGTTCGGCCTGCAAGCCACGCAGGAGTCCATTGCGGACAAGACAAGGACTGATTTATTTTACAACGAGCATGAACATAATTATAAACACAGATGAGAGAGAGAGAGAGAGACAGTACAGAGAGAGACAATACGGCTACAAACACTATACACTACAGATTGCACATTGTTTTGTCGTCCGGGTCAGATGGGGGTATTGCTTGGCTGGGGATCAGATGGGGTATTACTTGGCTGGGGGTCAGTGGTTCAGTTTGAGTGGTGAATGACATGGGCTTGTGCTCGACTGCTGCATGTCATAGTAAAGTCATTTCAGAAAAGTTTTAGATGTTTTTCATCATTAGCCAGTTTCACAATACAGTCAGACCTCGCTTACCCGCACACGCGCATTTCCACAAAATATCCAGATAGGCGAGGGAACCGGATAATCGAACACACATAGTGTATGTATGCATGACATATGCTGTAAATCGGTAACCAATGAGTTTCTTCCGGATGGCAAGGGATCCGGATAAAAAGACCGGATAAGCGAGGTCTGACTGTATGCTCGTAAACCCGATTGGAAAGTGCCTTGAGGGGATTCACAGCACAGCTGGGAAAAACTTTGTCAGGTTTTAGGAACACTGTGCCTTGTTCTCTCAAAGTAGATTTAAAAATGGTTCAACATTCAAAATTAACCTGCATCATCAAACTACAGTAAAACCTGTAATGGCGACCACTCGACCATGGCGACCACTCGACCATGGCGACCACTCGACCATGGCGACCACTTTTCCTTGTCATAGACACATTCACATTCAAAACAGCTCGGATAAGGCGACCACTCGCACAACGCGACCGACGACCACAGACCCGCGACCGCGTTGCACAGTGCTAGTACATGTAAATGTATGCATTGCATGGTGCACCATGCATGGTAGATCTACACATCAGTGCAGGAAGTGTAGATGTGCATGGTGCACGCACGACACTTGACAGGTCTGAGGACCCAAGGCACATGAGTCGTGCTAGAGTAGCATAGGTGTGTGCACTGTGATACACTGATCAAAATGATGTATCACGTGACATGTGGATATGGTCACGTGACCCACTGAACCTGGATAAGAAGACCACCTAGCCACGGCGACCACTTTTTCTCGTCCCTTGAGGGGTCGCCTTAGACAGGTTTCACTGTACTGCGTTTCAGACATACCTGGCTGGCAAAGAGAAAATCCAGTAAGTGATAGGCAATTTCCTCTTCGGTGTTGTGTTTAGCTGTGATCTCTGCTGCCTCTTCTCCTTCATCCATCACATCAGCCACCTTCACTGCCCTCATCCAAACATCCAACAGGCAGCGTACATCGCCATCGTTGGCAATGTGATCGCGAGATGCGGCCACCATTGTCTTCAAAATGTCAATCAACTGTTCTCTTGCTTTCACTGCATACCACAGGGTGGTTCCAGGAAGAGAGATAGGAAGAGCTAAGAAACCTTCATTCAGCTTGAAGTATAGCTGAGACATGTTTTCCATCATAGCGTCATCTTTTATGTATGGCCCAACAAATACCTGCCGGTGTGAGAGAGAGAGAGAGAGAGAGAGAGAGAGAGAGATTTATACTTCGGGCTGAAGCAATTGACCCAAATTCCTTATCAACTAAGTTGAATCCTATTGACTATCTGACTGCCAACTACTTGTACTATCAACTAAAATCGCCCTCGAATAATTACCACGTACAGTAGAGTGCCGATTGTCCGCACTCCTTGTGAGCCGGCTGCCTCCAGAGAGGGGGGGGGGGGGGTCGGATGAGGAGAAAGTTCGGAAAAGGGAGCAGTCACACGTCCATCTAAGCACATTCCCTCATGTTTCCATCACTTCTCATTCTCTAGCTCCTCAAAATGACTCAACTGTGATACGTTGTCACACCAACCTGTTGCAACACATCTTGTGCACTCCTTGAATGGTGCCCCGGGTGGGGAAAAACAACTTTTTGTCCCTTCTATTCAGTGGAAACTCATTCTCGTCCTTTCAATTCAGTGGAAACTGGCATTTCATGTAGTTGACGTTCGGATAATTGGCAATCTACTGTACACAACTCCACAGCACATAATACTATTATACTAGTATAATATGCACATGCATGTTCTTAACCTGCCCACCAAAGACACAGATGGTGCATCACATCCTAACCCGGGCATTTGCCCTCTTCTTTGCCCGTGACTGCAATTTCCACAAAACTGACTCTTCACGCTGGAACCGACAATCAGTTCAAACATCCGAATGAACAGACCGATTGCAAAGGGGGCTGGCAGGAAGATCTTGAGAAATGCACTGCAGATATGGTGGGAAAATGCTAACTTACAGTCGGAACTTGCAGCTTTTTTTATTATCTTGAGGGTCACTATTTCTCTGCTCAGTAAAAAACTGATCCAATCTAATGGCTATTTTCAGCTTCTACTTGTACGTGTTTTTACTCTTAGAAAACAAGCCCACGGCCTGCCAGTACTGACAATGCAATAGTAAAACATAATACTCTCGAGGAATTACTAAATAATGCCAATACCTGCTGTGCAGCATACAGTGGAACTGTGACTCTGCACACAGCGCCGACAGAATACAGGAGACTCACCTTGTACGAAGTGTGAACATTCATATCACGAATACGTGGCCTCATCTCTACAAAGGTGTCAACGCTGCCCCGACTGCGGATCCAGTGATCAAGGTGCTCCAGAATGGTCGCCTCTTGGATGGACAGATACACACCCAGGGCACTGCGAGTGAACAACGGCAGCAGCATCTTCCGCAGGGCCTTGTGCGCTGGACCATTCATGTACGCTATGTTCTTATCCTTGCCGAGCATGATGGGAGCGCTGAGTGTCAACTGAAGGCGAAACGCATCCCCCATGTTATTGAAGACCTTGCGCATGGTCTCTCCATCGTTGACGAAGAGGAAGAACCTGCAGGCAAGGAAGACACCCATAATGTACTTCAAACTAGGTGTATAATGGCACATTAAACATACAGTAAAACTTGTAATGGCGACCACTCGGATATGGCGACCACTCGACCATGGCGACCACTTTTCCTTGTCACGGACGCATTCACATTCTAAACAGCTCAGATAAGGCGACCACTCGCTCAACGCGACCGACGACCACCGACCCGCGACCGCGTTGCACCGTGCTAGTACAGGCAAATGTACGCATTGCATGGTGCACCATGCATGATAGATATCTACACATCATGGTGCACCATGCATGGTAGATCTACACATCAGTGCAGGAAGTGTACATGTACATGTTACATCAGGGGCGTAGCACCCGCTACGACTGGTACGACCATGGCCGTACCACTTTTCCAAAACTGTGGTCCGTCCGGAACGTGCAAAACCGTAATAAAAAAATCAGGATCCATCGATGCATACTAGTACCGTAAAGTCCGGAGCAAACGCCCACTTCGCAGCAAACGCCCACCCCAGCGAGTCCATACTATTTTCGTCTTTTTCAGGTCAATATAGTTGTAAACAACTGGCATGAAGGTCGAATGCGTACGACTGTAATGCCTACAAACTGCCTATGTCCTACCAGGACTCTGTGCAAAAGCGATTGTCATCATCTTCCTGCAAAGAAATAACTTCTGTCGAGATTTCCTTTCATTCGATAAATGTGTCCTCTTTGTGGTAGTTCGTTCTCCATGTGGTACGAGTAATGCCGTAGAAATTTGTGCAGTGCCACGATGTCGCGCTGTCAGGAACAGTAATTGTTCTGATGAAGCGTCAGTCAACGACTTGACTGGTCCCAATATGGCAGTTGCAAGTCGAACAGGGTATGTCACAGAAGCTACACCTACAAAGTCGCTGCTAACTTGTTGAAAACTCCGAAGTGCTCAAGAAAAACACTTGACTTTGGGCGTTGTGTGATCTCTAAATGATGGCTTGAAACACCGTCAGAAGTGTATTTGGTTCCTTAATACTCTGTTCTTCGCTACTTTGTTATTCGAAAGAAAACCCGCTCGGATTTGCGAAATAAAACAACCATCATTATAAAATCACTACGAGCTAGCTCGTGGCTAGTGTGCACGTGCCTAAAGAGATTTTGAAACCAGGAAAAGTGGACATAGTTTACCGTAGCAAAGTGCTCTTCCCGCTACGCGTGTGAAATGCACTTTCGTACAGTAGGGGTGACAGTGCATGGGGTCAGTGTGTACAGGCCAGCAGATCTTGCAAAAATGGGGTGGGCGTTTGCTCCGGACTTTACGGTAGTAGTATGCGCATCAGACTTTGACCTTTTTCTAGGCTCGTACTCGTAGATCTGCCATCCATCTGCAGTCGTACTGAGTACTGTACTCGACTCGACTGCACAGACCCGGAACGCAGGATTTTGTGTCTTTTTTTATATTGTCCCGGGGGAGGTCCCCCGGACCCCCTCCAACACGACCTTCGGCCGCTCCGACCTTCGGTCGTACCACTTCCAAAACCCCTCCTACGCCCCTGATGTACATGGTGCATGCACGACACTTGACAGGTCTGAGGACCCCAGGCACATGAGTCGTATAGTAGCATAGATATGTGCAGTGTGATACACTGATCCAAATGATGTACTTCCTCCGTTAACAAAAACTTCGTGATGGATTTTGATGGATATGAAAACGCTTAGAACAGGTCAAGAACAGTTTGTATCGACTGCAAATCACTGGACGAAGGTAATTCAGTCTATGTACAGCGTCTTTACAAGAGAAACTGTTGGCGGAATGAGCAGAGAGTTCAGTTTGCGTCGCTTTCGCTCGACTCATTTTTGACCTGCTTCGCTGTCGTCATCTGCTGCACGCGAACCGTCATCTCTCTCGAGTCGTTGTTCAGCTCGTTTCAGCCTTGCCTCGGCTTCTTTGATCACATTCCGCTGACCTTGATGTCGCCGTCGTTCAAGTTAGTTGGCTTTCAAGCCGCATGAGCCACCGCGATGGCGATTACTCGTTTCCACAAGGGAGTCGTGAAAAATATTTTACGACTCCCTGGTTTCACCTTCGCTCTCCAGAACTCCGCGAAACGAGGAGTGAAGGCACAGCCAAACTGATTCCATTTTCTCTAATGGATACCCCTGCCAGCACTGAACGGCAGCGGCTAGCAAGTCCAGTCGACTTTCTTCAGCCACGAGACTCGCATCGGACTGCAGACTTCTGAAATAAAGCATGGTCATCAGCATTCGAATCTGGGCTTTGCGCAGGTTGAACAAGAACTTGAGTTCAGAATTATTCTCATCGAGCCGTGCGATCGGAGCAGCTCCTTGTTCACTCGCTCATTTTGTGGGCTCGCTGCTCCGTTTTATCGCTCTCTATCACTCTCCAACTTACTGCTAAAGTGGTAAAGAGGCGCTAGGCCAAGCAGCGCAATATCCCCTCGAAGAAGTGGTATTTCAGTTTCGCTCGCCATGACTGTCATCACCTATGTTTCCACAGCGCAACCATCGATTCCGCTCGGCTTGTTGTGAAAGGTCGCTTTCCTTGCATCGTACCTCTTTCATGGCATGCCAGGGAAGGCCAAGAAAGTGATAGCGACTCCTTTCACTGCCGTTTTTTCCCAAATCAGCCCCTCGAAAATCCATCACGAAGTTTTTGTTAACGGAGGAAGTATCATAATTATGTGGATATGGTCACGTGACCCACTGAACCTGGATAAGAAGACCACCTGACCACGGCGACCACTTTTTCTCGTCCCTTGACCTTGAGTGGTCGCCTTAGACAGGTTTCACTGTACACATGGTGTAGTAGCAGAAGGCAGCAAACCATTAGCCTAGTAGCCTAGTGTTGTCGTGATCAACCATATTATCATGGCACCGCATCACCGAAGTTGCCGCCACGATTCCCACGAACTAGAACTTTGCTTTTTTCACATACTGTACAAGCAAATTATCAGGCAAATTTCTTTAGGACAGGGGGAAGAAGTACTATAGCTTCTTATAATTATCACCATGTCAGTAAGCCAGAATGGCTCTCTGTAGACAACTTTTTCCAGTAAAGCCCTGCATGGAACTATTACCCCAAAAGAGCTAAGACATGTGTGTGTGTGTGTGTGTGTGTGTGTGTGTGTGTGTGTGTGTGTGTGTGTGTGTGTGTGTGTGTGTGT